TTTTTTTTTTTTTTTTTAAAAAAAAATTTTTTAAATCGGCCCAAATTTTAAATTTTAAAAAATTTTTTGGCATATTTTACGGAAAAAATGTTTGAAAAAAGGGTTTTTTAAATTTAAAAAACAGTCCCCATTATTTGTATGGATTATGTTGTCATCGGTCCTTGATTTTTTATTTTTTTTACAATAAACAGGCATTAAATTGAATTGCATGACGTTTCGACTGGGATTAGAGACCACAGGATGACCTAAGGGTCATATCTACTCGATCACCGCATTCGAAGTTGCGATTGCCCACGCTGAGGACCAAGGCGATTGGTGAAGATTTCAAGGGTAGATGTGAAATAATCTCCCACTAAGGGCTCTCTTGTCCGTGTAGTGACGGATTAAGAATACGGAATGTCACTACCCCAATTCATCCCGTGGGTGTCGTAAGAGGCGACTAAGGATGCAAAACAACGCAGGACACCAGCACTGCAAAAAGACGGGAAACTTGACACAAACCCTATACCAACCCGTCTGGCCAGCGTGGTATAGTAGGCCAAAACCTCCTGTCTAAGGAGGGCTATGTCCAGCAGTGGACTAGTAAAGGCTGTTGATGTGATAAGAAGGCCTCTGTATACCATTTTTTTATTAGGGAACGCGATGATTTCAAAGTTAATTCCACTCCAACATTCCCCCTCTTTAATGCTCTGATCAAAACACGTATACAGAAGATACTCACGTTTCTCCGCACTCCTGGGACTCTTCACTCTTGAAGGTCCAGGATTAGGACTGGCGGTCCTCACTTTCGGGCTCTTCGGAGCTGAACTTGGATAGTGGTGACGTAAACCAGGTTTATATTGGATTTACATTTTCAATGTCACGTTTACGTTTTAGCGATTTGTGCATCTGTAACAATAAATAAAAACTTGACACATGTTTAACACGAGTAAACACGATAAAAAGATATTGGCAAATTTCGATTTTCGCGAAAACTTTTAAGTACTAAAATTTAACTTAATTTTCAATTTTTTTATTTTTCAGAATTTTCTCTTTACTTGTGCATGTACTTAAAAATTTTCGCGAAAATCTACGTAAAATCTGGATAGGTACGGCACCCTCAGCGGACGAGTTCGACTCGTACGTGACCGGTTTTTTATTAGTATTATTGGATAATTTATTACATACTTTATGTTTGTTACGGTATGTTTTTGTTAAGGGTTTTTGTTATAGTTGTGTTAAAAACGCTGTAATTTTCATTTTTATTTTTCTCTACTGTTAGTATGTGTTTGACCACTTTATATTTTGTAATTCGTTTTGAAATTGTTCTATGTTAAATAGCCTTTTCTTAATGTGCCAAGTCTCATGCGTTTTTTGTTGGGGTGTTTTTATATGGATAATAGCGCCATTATGGTCTGAGAAGCCAAATTCTTCAACTAACGTGTAAAAAGTGTTGACATTCAAATTTGTTAAAATTAAGTCCAAGCATGTGGATGTCTAGTCAGCGTTATGCGGGTTGTTCTTTTTTATATGTTGCGTAAATTTGTGATGTTTTTAAGTTATTTCTAAATTATTATATTAAATTATCCTCCAATGATTTAAAATATTTACTATCTATATAATTTAGTATTTGTTCATTCTGATAACAAAATGTTTACTCCTCTTTTATTCCAATACATATTAATAAGCAACACATACTCTACAGATACCTGATACCACCCACTGGTGGCGAAGTCGGACTCGAACCGACTAAAAAACCGCAGGCCGTCTCGGGTACCAGTAGCCGGGGAACCGGGTTTGTTCTAATGGTTATGTTACAGGAATCTACCGATATCCAGGCTATATTTCTGTGTTACTCTGGTGTTTTACTGTTAGAAGCTTGGCACCTCAATTTCTTGAGCTCAAAAGGTTTCATATTATTAAAACTACCTTTAGACATTTTAATCGGAACTATCATTGTCGTACTTTAAACGTGTCTGCACGGATGGCGTAGTGGTTTAAGTGGTCGCCACGCCGGTTCCTACTACGTCAAAGTATCAAACCCCACATGGGACGACACTTTGTGTGATCACAATTGTTGTTCTGAGTCTGGGTGTTCTTTGTGTCCGTTTCATGTATGTTTGTAAAGTCCCCCGCGACACAGGATATATTCCTAATGCGGGAGCTGTCTTAAAAAAAATCTCAACAGGTCGATAAGCGTGCGGTAATTTTTGTGGCAGTTCAGTGACAAGTCATCGGGGAGACCACTGGTCTTAGATACTTAGGAGAATATGAATGTGCAAAACCATACCGACGACAGACCATCGAGTCTATTGATACAACAATAAAATAGCTAGTATACGACTGAAACAGGTTTTTTAGGCGAAACCAAATCATATACAAAATACACTAGATATATTGCATACTGAAAACTAGTGTATTTTTAGGATATTTATCTGCATATAGCTATTTACAGACGGGGTTAAATAAAAAAAAAACAATATTATATTTATATATTTTTTTTATATTTAATAATGAAATTATGTAATAAATAATAAAAATACCACATTCACACAACCACTTGACTGCATGGATAGAAAAAAACTATATATGTATTTATATCAGTTGTCTAGTACCCATAGTACAAGCTCTGCTTAGTTTGGGACCAGATGGCGTTCTCTTTTTTTTTTAAAGAACTCCCGCATTAGGATTATGCCCTGCGTCTCGGGGGACTTTACAAACATACACGAAACGGACACAAAGAACACCCAGACTCAGAACAACAATTTGTGGATCACACAAAGTGTAGTCCCATGTGTGGTTTGAACCCACAACACGCGACGTAGTAGGAAGCGGCGTGGCGACCGCTTAAACCACTTCGACATCCGTGCAGTCAAATCTATACTAATATTATAAAGCTGAAGAGTTTGTTTGTTTATTTGTTTGTTTGTTTGAACGCGCTAATCTCAGGAACTACTGGTCCGATTTGAAAAATTATTTCAGTGTTAGATAGCCCATTTATCGAGGAAGGCTATAGGCCATATATCATCACGCTAAGACCAATAGGAGCGGAGCACCAATGAAGAATGTTTCAAAAACGGAGAAAATTTATTACTATTGAGAGACGCAGACGAAGTTGCGCGGGTCAGCTAGTATATAATATAAAACACAACTCCAAAGATTGCACTGGACGGCAGCGCACTGAGCCAGAACCGATATCCATGAGCCAGACGCGAAGTTAGCCGAACGACGCACGACAATTCGCGAACACTGACTTTCGGCGCGGCCGTAATTTGCGGCCAATTTTGGCCGAAACCGAAACTTCGGTGGGTCACTAAAACTAGCTGGATTGTATGCTAGTTTGCCATTCTATACCATAACAAATCCAGTATAAACTCACCATGCCTGAAGTACCAGGATCACATGGTAGCTCACCACAATCGTCTGGCTCTAGAAGACTGACACCCATCTCTTGAAGCACCTGTTAACAAAAAAGGAAAATAAATATTACATACCCTTTTTTTTTTTTTTTTTTCTGTGCGGAAATCCCCTCGGATACCACCTGTCGGTGGCATGTCGGACTCGAACCGACTAAAACCGCCGTCTCGGGTACTAATAGCCGGGGAACCAGGTATACCCTAGAAAGGAAGTCAAATATTACATACCCTCACCACTCGGGTATGTAGACAGAGGAATAGAGCATAAGAGCAGACAGGACCTGATATGTAGTAATTGACTACTCCAGCCCATGAACACATCTATCTATACAAATAAATAAAATTGGAGTGTCTGTTTGTAATATTAAAATAGCCGCTTTTTACTAAATGAATATGTGTGTTTACACGGTACATATGCCAAAATAACATTTTTTACAATTTTTGTCTGTGTGTCTGTTTGTTCCGGGTAATCTCTGGAACGGCTGGACCGATTTCGACGAGACTTTCACTGGCAGATAGCTGATGACATAAGGAGTAACTTAGGCTACTTTTTTTAGACTAGCTTCGCCCCGCGGCGTTGCCCGCGGTTATAACAACAAACGCGGGTAACACCGCGGGTCTCAGCTAGTTATAGATAAATTACCCCCAGACAGAACAAATGGCCGGGTGGGAATCGAACCCACGATCTCTGGCTTAGTAGTCAGGGCCACTAACCACTAGACCAACAGGCCTTACTGAAAACCAGATTTACAATGTACTAGTTTTTTCCCGCGGCTCCGCCCGCGTGTATGTCGGTTATCGCGGCAAAATGAAGGCAAGAATCAAACTATCCTCATACCAAATTTGGTCTAAATTGGTTCATTCAGCGGTTATTGTTTTCCCATACTAACTTAGATCCCACTATATAAACTACCCTATGTCCTTTCCCGGGGAGGTAACAGACAGACAGACTATTGACTGCACGGATGGCATAGTTGATGGTTCATTCTGATAGTATTCTAGGGTTAAAGTGCCTAAAATAAAAGGGAAACATAACATCTGTTTCTCTGTCCAGACTCTTACATTCAAAAAGGTATTATTCCCCAAGGGAGATTGAGAGTAACTGAAAATAAGTAATAATAAAACAATGAGTATGGCGTAGTGGTTTAAGCGGTCGTCACGCCGCTTCCTACTGCGCTGAGTGTTGTGGGTTCGAACCCCACATGGGACACCACTTTGTGTGATTCACAAATTGTTGTTCTGAGTCCGGGTGTTCTTTGTGTCCGTTTCATGTATGTTCGTAAAGTCCCCCGCGACACAGGATATATTCCTAATGCGGGAGTTCTTCTTTTTTTTAAAAAAAAAGACACTTTCGCATTATAATATTAGTATGGATATACATATATATATGTGTCACTTGCTCTTTCTTGGCTAACCTAGCTTACTAGGTTAGCTAAGAAAGAGAAGTTAGAAGTAAATTCTTCTTTTCCCTATCAATATAGTGTACCACCCTTAAGTCCACAGCCCGTGGGTGTCATAAGAGCCATCTAGGTTAGCAAACTATGCAGGACAACAGCCCTGCAAAGAGAAAGAAAATTTGACACAAACCCTATACCAACCCAGGTCAGCGTTTTATAGTAGGCCAAAGCCTTTTTTTAAGGAAAGGCCTATATCCAGCAGTGTACTATTAAAGGCTGAGAATGATATCATCATCAACAGCCTTTAACAGGCTTGATTACTGCTTCCAGGGTATCTTTACTGGCATAATGGAACATAAGTTAATTATTTGTGTGGTCCAAAAGATGGTATTTGTGACAGTACAGGGAGTTAGTTAGCAGTTGTTGTTTTCTATATAGTCTCGCTACTAGTGAGACTCCTGACACATGGTTATCTGATCTTAAATGACCAACCATGTAATATGGTAACCAGACATTTCATCATCATCATCAGCCTATCGCAGTCCACTGCTGGAGATAGGCCTCTCCCATTGCACACCACTTAGATCGATTTTGGGCTTCTCGCATCCATTAAAAAATAAGATAAGATAAGATATACAAAGGATAAGTCCAGGTGGGAATCAAACCAACATGCTCCACTAGATCAGCAGGTCTGTGACAACAGACCTATATACTTTAAAAAACAAACTTTTCTAACATGAGGAGAATAAAATATACAACAACATTATTGGTATAGATTATAAAGCAACATATATACATCATCAACAGCCTTTAATAGTCCACTGCTGGACATAAGCCTTTCCTTAGAAAGGAGGTTTTGGCCTACTATACCACGCTGGCCAGACGGGTTGGTATAGGGTTTGTGTCAAGTTTTCCTTCTCTTTGCAGTGCTGTTGTCCTGCGTAGTAAAATATATACAATTGAATAAAAATTCTGCATGTTAAAACTATCATGCAAATTTGTATGAATAATAGTGGACACTAGAGTTTATCTTTCTATCATACATACTTAAATCTAGTAAAACTGACGCATCAATGATACTGTTTATGGATTAACCCGGTTACAAAATCAATTTTAAACACCTAAGGTCATGGGACCAACGTCCATTGTGCGGTAATAATTGCAGACGAAGCAAAACTCACAGGTCAATGAACTACGTGCATACACCGTGTCAAAACGTATAAACGCATATTACAGCATATTTAAGGATTAATGAACGACTCTATTTGCTACAGAGATAATTAACACGTGTTAAATAAGCTAATTATTAGATTGATTTTTGACAAAACGTCTTATAGTTTCGACGTATGCACTCGACATTACAACAATTATTTCCAGCCAAATACTACTATATTTCAGCTGTAATTTATGATTCATGGACATTGATAAACAGGAAAGGTAAATAATGTTAAAATACTAAGAATATTTTGATGTGCAATTGCAAAACATAACCAAAAAAGGGATATGAAAAAAAGCGGGAATGGTATGTATCTTACCTCGTGATCGGTTTTCCTGTCCATTAAACTCCAGCTTTTGCGACTTGAATTGTTTAAGCGCATCCTTTTCCTGCAAAATATGCACATTTTTAATTATATTATATCGTATTTTTACATAAATACTACGCCAAATGCCTATAGTATTTGGCGCCTTTTAACTTTCCCGCGATACAAATCAGCTGTCAGACACCAACATTACTATAGTTCGAAATTCATTTGATAAAAGATTATTTACCGAGGGCTTTCAGCTTCGTCATGTTCCCTAGGGGAAGGATACTCGTCCCCTGTTTTACTGGCACTCATAATCACAAATTTAATTAATAAATAAGCTGAAGGGTAATGATTTTAAACTACCTAATGTCATCACCACGAACGAATTCACAAAATAAATTGGAAAAAAGGAAGATGAATGTACGGAATGAACGAAATGTGATCTCTTTGGCAATGAATGAAACATAAGATTGGTCTCCTTTAGTGTGACCATGTAATTTACATCAATAAAACGCTATTATAATGCTTATGTTTTAAGTTATATAAAAGTATAATGTTATCGGTTCGGTATGAAAATGTACAATATAATATTTAACAGAATAAAATAAATGTTTATTTATTTTTCTTTCACACATTTAAATCTGCTGTACTAAGCGTTCTATGCGATTGCTTTTATCAATACCATAAAGAATTCGAAGGCTACACCCAAAATGTTATTTTTTACAAAATTAATTCCAGGACCTTAAAATACAATATTTTACTATTTATCCATACCAATTTTCGGTCAGTAAAATGAAAAAAGTAATTGTATGTCCTTGACTTGAGTGATTTTGCACCTGGCAGCATCGGCTTGTGTTTACAAAATTTCAACCAATAAAAATTTCAGATTCTGACGTTCAATGTATTCATTGGCTCAAAGTAAATCAACGATACCCAATCAGAAGCAATTGCGATTTGCACGCCTTCTGTCACAGTGGAACAAAATCAAAACACTAACAAAAAGAAAACAAAGACGGCACGGAGAGGTTCTTCTCTTTGTGTAAATTCAAAACAATCGTGAAAGATTTCCAATTTTAACGTGATAATCACTACCAAGTAACCGCTTTATCGTGTTGTGCGCCTTGTTTACGTGAAAATGACGACGCGGAAGCTGAACACCATCGAAGATCTAAGCGGTAAGTACATTCAAGACATATAAATAAATAAAGCACCAGTGTCAACAAAACTTGTTTTGTCCACAATGAAACGTGATTTTCAAGTTTTTGGGTTGTTATGACTATTACACGCATTGCTATTAATAAACGAAATATTTTTGAGGTCAGAAAAAAATACGGCGCAGTAAATTAACTTGTAGTATGTTTACGTTTTAAAAATACGTATCAAAATATGCAATATGGCGTCTACGTAAACTCTCGAGGTCATTAATATTAATCTGCGTCATAACAACGCGTACGTGATACAGCGATGAATAACCACAGACGTAAAAAGCCAGGCCATCTTGAACGGAAGTGATTGTAAGTGAGGCTTCTTTATATGGACGTGTTATACCTGTAGGTTCAAATGGTCCGATAACTACTTTCAAACATCCTACGATTTATGTACGCCTGGTACTTTCATGCGATGACTGTTTTTTTTTATTAGTCTATGGTTCTTTTCTAAGGAAAAACCTTTGTAAGGAGAGGCCTATGTCCAGCTGTGGACTATTAAAGGCTGATGATAATAATGATAACTGTGTATTGTAATCAAATTTACCTATAATTTAGATATACGTTATAAGAGTCTAAACTAGGAAGAACTTCCTGTCCTGTTCATTCGTCATAATTCATTTTCTAGTTCTAAACTGACTGTCTATGGTTTGTTTAAATGCTAAGCTTTATTAAACTACTCTACTTGAGTCTATAATATAGAGACTCATTAATTAGTACGCTGGTGTGCCTCTATTTTCAGTATACATCTGGACACTTTTTCAACTTGTCCGCCATATGAGATGATCTCCTTGCCCTTAAAA